GGCCGGGATGCTGGCTGCTGACGTGATCTCCTCTCTAGTTCAGGTGCAAACATAAGCCACCAGGCTCTGTCCCAGTCTTGTGCAAGCGACGTGATGATGTGGGTGTAAGTCTTCGAAGGAGCCTGGGAGAGCGCTAACGGTCTGGAGTCTCTGGGCTTGGGACTAGCATCCCCATGAAGGTAAACCAAGGGCCAAAGGGAGACGAGGGACTCCCCCTTTCTCCTCGGGGCCCCCCTCCACCTTCTGCGCCCTTCATTCCTATGTTGAGAAACTGACAGGAGACCAGAGCCATCTGGATGCTGGGGGTTCTCCTGGTGAAGCATCTGGAAGGGCTCCGGGCTGCAGGGGTGAACCCCGGCCTGGGGTCTGGACTGGCCCCCCTGGAACTTGCTTTGTGGCCTTGACAGAGCCCCTCACCAGTCCCCAGGGGGAGTGGACTCCCCGTTGTCTGGGGCCCTCCTAGTTCTCAGGCTGGGTGTTTGTGTCCTTGGCTCACTCACTGGTTCCATTTTTTCCTCATGAGTCTGTTCCCTGCTCTCCCTTCCTTGGCGCCCACACCCTGCCCCCCATCCCGCTCGGTGCCCCCGCCCCTGAACCCGAACCCTCTCCTCCTTTCCCCCAGCTGCTCTCAGCTGGGCTGCTCATTTGAAGCAGGGGGTCTTCCGATCCCAGGGAGTCAGGCCATGAAATCCTCATTACATCTAATAGCAGATAACTGGTCCATTTAGCACAAATCGTCTCCCCACGTTGGAGCTGGAGTCTGAGGGTGCCGGGAAGGGAAGGGCTGGAAAGGAATACGGGGCTCGGGAAACACCCCTCTGCCGAGGTCACCCTCTCTGAGCCCTGCCTGGGAGCAACTCCCGCATCCAGACCTCCCCCTCAATACTGTGGACACTGCTCCTCAGCAGACAGTCCCCTCCTGGGGTCTCAATTTAGTCTGCTTCAGCGGTAGCACCGCTCCTCGCCGAGGCACCCGCTGACCCCAGCCCCATCCGACAGCCTGACCTCCTTGTCACCTCCCCCAGAGGACCCCAAAGGCGGCCCTTCTTCCTGCCCCCATGGTGCAGATCTGAGTCTCTCCCCAGGGCCGGTGAGGCTTTCCTGCCCACGTATCCGCAGGAAAGCCCCAGGCCTGAAACCCAGAAGGGTTTATGCAGCCACTGGGGCCAGAAGACCGGAAAGCGGGGAAAGGACCCGGAGAAGCCTCTATGCTGGGAGCAGTTTTGGAGGGGGAGGGGGGCTTCGCTCATGGTTCTGGGCTCCAGGCTCTGCGGCAGGGGCACGGACATGATGACCTCTGGCTTGGGGGACTCGGGTTATTTTCCAGGCTGAAGATCAGGCTCTTGGCCCCTGTCTTCTGCGTCTCTCGTCAGCAGCAGGAACACCACCGTCAGCCCCTCTGGGGGTAGAGAGGACAATTTATAGAATTGTTCTGCTGTTCTTAGCCCTCATTGAGACAAAGAATTCATTTCTGTCTCTCAGGATGGCTTCTCCTGCGGATGGTCATGAATTGCCTTCCTGGCCACTCTCTGACCCCTGATCCTTTTGCTTTGGTACTCAAAAAATTATTAATCTTTCTCTTAAGTCCATGTATAACCTTCGGCCGCTTCTCTCCTTTTTCTGGGTCTTCACCCCTACATCCTAGGGGATTACTGCCTCCGCCTCCAGGCAGGCACGGTTCTGTCCGGGCAGGGCCCTGGGCCTCAGGACAGACACCAATCCAGCAGAAGGGAGGGTCGAACGTCCCTGCTTCGAGAGCTCCCGCAGAGAAAATTGTCACAGCCAGCATCTCCTTCTCACTGTGTGCCTAGCGCTAGGAGCCGCACGAATACTGACCCACTTAATCCCTACAACCCCCTCCATGGTAAGTGCTCTCATCCCTGTTCTCAGATGAAGAAGCCAAGGACGTGGAGGGCAGGTAAGCAAACTGCCGAGATCACACAGGATGTGAGGGGCAGGACCCGGATGACCAGACTCTCGGGCTGGTTTCCAGTCCATGGGCTTCCTTCCCCACCATTCGCTGTCCCTCTGTCGGGGAGAGGGGCTCCCCAGTTTCTTCCTTGACCTCAGGCAATTGCAGGCTGAGAGGACACCACAGCCCTTGCCCCCAAGAGGCCCCTGATGGGGGAGGCAGATATGCAGTCCTGGGGAGGATGTCTAGTCTGATGGAAAACACACAGGCTTTGCCTTTGGAAACATCTGTTCCTATTACTGTAACAGGTGTTACAGTGTTACATCACCTGTTACTGGGGGGTCAGCCCCAGGATGCCCCCAGTTGGGTGCGAGTTATGTGATTAGACTCCAGGGGACTCAGTGAATTTATTTAAAATTGTGAACACGGGTGCCCGAGAGAAGAGGCTGGAACAAAGGTGGGAAGGGCGAAGGAGAGGAGGGTGATGCAGTGCTGCTGGGGGGTAGGGAAGGCGTCCCCGCAGAATGAAGGCTCGCAGAGGGCAGTGCCCGGAGGGCGGGGCCTTGCTGAGCTCAGTGCTTCTCAACCGTGGCTGCCTGGTGGAATTACCTGGGGAGATGTTTAAAAATACCAAAGCTTGGGGCTTCATCCTAGAACAATCAATCTTTGGAAGTGGGGCTGAGGCACTGCCGTGTTTAAAAAGCTTCTCAGGGGATTCTAACACGCAGCTGGTGTTGAGGACCTCGGGCTGGGGCTGGGGCCTTAAGCGCCGGGATCTGGGATGCCGAATGGCTTATGTGGAGGGGATTCTGTGTGTTTGCTGCTTTGGCTGGGCGCGTTCGGGTCTGCTGCTGCTGGGGTTTCGAGGTGATAAAGAGATAAGTTTTGAAAACTCAGGCCCTCCTCACACTGAGAATAGCCATCAAACCTGAATAGAAACCAGAAGAAGGTGGACAAGGAGCTCTAACTAAGCTAAGAATATCCTCTTTGCTCACTTCTGGGCTTTGTCTTCTCAACATTGCCCTAAATAACCATCACCATGGGCCTCTCTTTCCTGCACCTTTATGCGGAGTGAAAAGGAGAAAAGGCAATCTCACTGTTACTCCAAGAACACCTCTACCTCAGGGTCTTTGCACTAGCGGTTACTGCCTACCTGCTATTTTTTCCCCTGAGAGGCCTGGATACCCGAACCCCTCCATTTCCTGCACAAAAGGTGCTGTAGCACAGCAGCGTTTCCTTGATTGTCTCCCACAGCATTACTACAGCCTGGTGTATTTTGTGTTTTTCTACTGCCTCTTCCTCCCCTCCAGGATGGAACATGACGAGGGAGGGACTTTGTCCTTTTATGTATATATTTTTGTCATGGCTGTATCTCCACGGCCTGCGATTCTGACTGCAACGCAAGCAGGCACACAAGAAATATCTGTGGAATGCATGATTAATGAGCGAGTAAGTGAACAGCCCTTAGTGTCTGCACATTGGTGTGTGGCCGTTTGAACGTGTTCGTGGTGATACGCCCATTTCTCTGGGCTAGGAATGGCTCCTTTTATTAAAACTGTAGGTTTGCCCGTGCATATGTGCTTTGGCGCACGCGAAGGGTTCGCTGGGTCTGGGCACCACACGCTTCTGAATCCGGGCTCGTGTGTCTCTGCTGTGTATCCCTGGCCCCTCAGTTGTGCGCAGATGTGTCTGGACCATCCAGCCCGGCGCCAGGTTCCTGGAAGAAACCGCCTCGCGCCGGCAGAGGGCACCAGAGAGCCGCGCGCCTGCGTTCAGGGGGCCGAAACCGGGAGTTCTTGGCGGGTAGTTGGGGACCCAGGAGACCGAGAATCTGGTGGAAAGAAGTGGAGAGCTCTCTGACCAACGGAGCACTCTGAAGTTGTGCAATTCCTGTGCAACGTCCGTGACTCCCCTCAGCTCCTCTCCTAGGACCCAGACGTCCGGGCACCCCCTGCAGCACCGTGAGCAGAGCCTCCGTGGCTGGGGTTGGGAGGGGAGCTGGCCGCCACGCTGGGCCCCTGGGAAAGAGGGGCGCCCTCGTGGAGGCCCCCGCCGCTCTCGCCGGGAGCTGCCTCCCTTCCCCGCTCGCACATCTCTCAACCCCAAGGATCTCAAACTCCTGCGCGCTTAGAGATCCCCGCGTGGCTGCCCTCCCCGTGGCCCTTCCCAGCCGTGGAGGGGCCGCTTCTCCCGCTGGACGGTACCACCCAGGATGAACAAAGGCCGGAGGCCACGGCGCCCCTTCCCCCTGCGACACCTAGGCTGGCCCCACTGTGTGCCGGGGGAGGCGCGGGCGGCGCGCCAGGCGGCTCCGGGAAGCGGCTCCAGGCCCGGCCCCGGGTTTTGTAGCTGGGGAGGGGGGCGCATCGCTCCCCACCCCGGTATTCATGAGCCCTTGGAGAATTCCCGATTTGGAGAATCTAGGGCTTCGATTCCGGGTGTGAGATCAACAAGAAAAAAAAAACCAAAAACAAGGATTTTGTGCTTTTTGACTCCATGACCCACCACCTGCCCATCGCGTCCCCCCTGCGCCCCCCCCCCCGCCCCCCAGACACACATATGCACGCACACGGCCTCCCCATCACGGCCATCCCCCGGCCCACGGGCAGGTCGTCGCCCGGCCGCCCCCTCGGCAGCGGGGGCGCCCCAGCCCGCGAGTGTGACGGGCGGGGCGCGGTGGCCGGTCCCTCGCCCCCCGCCCCCCGGGTCCCGCGCCGCGGGCATCTCCGTCCCGGGGAGGGTGTGCGTGCGCGCCGGGGGCCGGAGGGCTGGGGGAGGGCTGGGGGAGGAGACGTCAGGAGGGGCGGGGAGGGGAGGGGAGGGGAGGGGAGGGCCCGGAGGAGCGGAGAGCGGAAGAGCCCCGGAGAGCGCGAGCTGGGCCAGCGGCGGCACCGGGCGCGGGAGGGCCGGGGCGAGGGCGGGACCGCGCGGGCCGGAGAGGCCGGGAGGGAGGGGGCCGCGGGCCGGGGAAGTGAGTTTGTGCGCGCGGGGGTGCGCGCGTGCGGGCGTGTGTGCGCGTGTGCACGCGCGTGTGCAGGGCCGGGGGCGGGCTCCGGCCCCGCCGCCTCCTCCCGCCCGCGCCCCGCGCTCCGCCGCCAACTCGGGGCCCCGGCGCGGCGGGCGGCGGGCAGCATGCTCAGCCTCCTCGTCTGGATCCTCACTCTCTCCGACACTTTCTCCCAAGGTAAGCCCCGCCGCCCGCGCTCGGCGGCCCGCCTGCCCGCAGCCCGCCCCCCGGGGCGCCGGCCCGACGTTCCCGCGGAGGCGCCCAACTTGTCTCGGCCGCGAGCGCGGGGTCGGGCCGTCGCGGGACCCGAACGCGCACAGCGCCCTCCGGAGCCTCCGGCAGCCTCCCTGCGTCTGCCGGCCGAGGCCCGGAGTCCGCACGCCACGTTCCTGCGGGGGGGATGGGGGGAGGAGGGTGGGATTTCAGATTTGGGGTGGGAGGTGCATGGAAAGCTGGGGACCCGGCTCCCGAAGATGTGGTGAAGGGAATCCCGACTCCAGACCAGCCCCTGAGGGGGGTGGGAAACTCCACACTGCCTGGGCCGCCCCCTCTGGAGGAGGGGAGGGCTGCCGGGGTGTCTGCTGGGACCCCTGCCCGCGGAGGCGCCGGCTGGGGAGCCGACTTCCAAAGGCAGCTTGGGGCTGGCCTGAAATACCGCGGGGGGGGGCACTGGGGGGGTTCACATCCCACTCTGGGTCGGGACAGTGTTGATGTCGCGGCTTCTTTGGAACTGGCAGGGGAGAGGCTGGGAGAGGAGACGCTGGTAGTGTATCCTGGGGCTGGGGGCTGGGGGGGCTGTAGGGCCCGGCCTCAGGCAGCACCGGGGTCTGTGGGTGCGCACTCTCGCCTCCCGGGTCTGGCTCTAAGAGTTAATCCTGCCCAGCCCGCCGCCCCCATCCAAAAATGGAGCTGACACACAAACACCAAAAACCAGTCATAGAGCCGGAGACAGACTACTCACTTGCTGAGACAGATACACCCACAGCATCTCCCGAGCGGAGACAGACAGACACACAAAGACACTGACACCCTGGCGAACACAGAGCCCTCCCCCGAGCCGGCTTGCACATCCATGCACCCAAACACATCCAAACTCACCCAGACACGCCGCGCGTGTGCAGGCGGGCATTCACAAGGACACGCACACACGCGCTGAAACCGTACCGCACACACCAGCCCTCCAGCAAACAAAGAGACTTGAACAGTCGTTCATATAGGCAGACACCTATGGAGATGTACAGACGGCATCATGGGGGAGGTGGAGTGAAGTCGGCTTGCATAGAACAGCCTCAGGCTTTGCCCTGTTCTTGGTTCCCTTCCGGGGCTGGTGTGTGTGCGTGTGTGTGTGTGTGTGTGTGTGTGTGTGTGTGTAGGGGTGGGGTGTTGTGCTGGACCCCTCCTCTCCTTACCAGGCCCCTCCCCAGCTCCAAAGGCAAAGCCTGGCTGACTTACTGGAGGGCCGGTCCTGATCCGGCGCTCCTGTATGGCCCCCCAGGCCCCCCAGCACCAGGCCGAGACCCGGGAAGGGTGTGCATCCTGGGTGTGAGCGCGGTGCTGGGCAAGGAGGCCTGGCCCTGAGGTTGGCAGGCCCAGCAACCACTTGGCAGAAAGTTGGAAAGATGACTGAAGTTCTGACTTTGTTGGGCTGGCTGCTAGGGGGGCGCGGGTGGGGGGGCGGCTGGGTCATTACCCTCTCGAGTTGGGGGCAAGCTGGCCTCTCCCCGTTCCCGCAGCCCCAGCATGTCAGCAATATGGAGCAAAATGAGCTTCAAGGAACAAAAGGTGCAGTTAGCAAACTGGCCAGACATGTGGATTGAATCGGGAACAGAAACGGTGGAAAGAGGAGTGTGCTGTGTGCCTTTCTCCCCTTGGGCAGGGGGAGGGTCGGGTGAGCGGAGCTCCCACCTCCCCGCCTCTGACTGGGCTGAAAGCGAGACCCGACAGAGTGTGCAAAGTATTTGTGTGGGGGAGGGGTGCCAAAGAAAAGGAAGGGGGAAAATGGACAGAGGGGAGAGGAAGTCACTGCTGGCAGTTCCTGGGGGGAGGAAGGGGGGGCAGGCAGGGAGGGAGTGGGCACTTGGGGAGACTGGGGTACTCACAGGGTGGGTGACCTCTCCTTGGCCTCCATCCTTAGAAAGAAAGATGTCCAGGTCAGGGACTAGGGGAGGCGGAGAGGGAGTGGGGGAAGGGGGTGTAGGGTGGGAGGGGGCTGGTGGAGAAAAGGGGAGAAGGTAGCAGAAGGCAGTCATATTGAGGGGTGGGGGGTAAGGAGAGATTCAGCCCAGGCAGAGAAATAAAAATCGTATTTTAAAGAATTTCAATGGGCTTCATCAATCTTCATTTTTCACTAAATAATTTTCTGTATCTTATCTAAATGAAAACCATTATCCTTCCCCCTATTTCCATCATGCGCCGCTCCTCAGACTGATTGCGCCGAAAATTGAAATATTTATTCATTTTCTGGGAGATTTTCTCGCTCCCCAGTCTCGGGGAGGAGAAATTGAAAAAGAAAGATTATAGCTAATCAGAGCAATGTGGGCTGACAGGCTGGCTCGGGGCGGGAGCTGCCTCGGGGGACTGGAGGGGGAGGTAGGAGAGAAGTCGGTCCCTCCAGCCCCCGGAGGTCCCCAGGGCACCCCAGCCACCTTGGCAGGCGGGTGAGGAGCAAAGGGAAGAGACTGGAGCCTCCTGAGTCCTTGGGATTCGAGGGCCTGAGCACAGCTCCGTCCTGGCGACAACAGGCGTCTGGAAAGAGCAGTAGTGGGGAATCCGCCGTCCCCTCCCCGCCCTCGCTGGCCCCGGGATGCCTCCCTGCCACCCCCACAGCCCAGAGCAGGCCTGGAGGCTGGCGAGGAGGCAGGGGAGACAGGCAGAAATCGGGATGCCGGGTCCCCCTCTGACCTTGATTGGATTCCACCTTCCACTCACTTGGAGCTCGAGGGAAGATGTGAACCCACTCACTGCTCTGTGCTTGGCATTACCCTGGACCCTGGACCCCTCGCTCGCCCCCACCCTCTGCTGGTCACCAGGCTGCCCACCGGTGGTCCTGCTCTGCCTTTGGTTCTCAGGCAGGGTAGGGGCGAGGAAGCCAGCGCTGCCTGCCCCTCTCTTCTCACCCCTTGTCTTGAGAGCCCAGGGGTCCGATGGGAGCTCCTCTGGGCCTGCAGACCCTCGGGGCCCAGGTCTTCCTTTCTCCTCCAGCTTTCCGTCTCTGACACAGAGCTACGCACTGGGTAAGTGCCCTTGAGTATCTGATCAATTGATTGGTTTGATGCAAGTGTCAGCGTCCGAAAGACGCAGCGTGAAGCGGTGGTTACATCGCAGGCTCGGCCGCTGGGTGGGCGCGTCATGTCAGCTTGAACCAGGTATGCGCCTTCTCCGGGCCTCACTCTGCTCGGCGGTACCGCGAGGCTAGAACTCGCGCCTCACAGGCTCAGAGGGTCCTCATGGCAGTTAAACATGCTGTGGGCGCCAAGCACGGACCGGCGTCTGGCACAGACAGTGGTGCCCCGTCCTGCTCGCCGTCAGGGCTCGGTGGCTGGACGCCCGTGCTCGGTGGGCGGGCTGCCTGTGCCTCCTTTGGGCTCCTCTGTATGCCTCTCTGTGTTCGCTCCCACTGCTCCTCTCCTGGACAAGACTGGACCGTGGCCGACCCAGGAGGGGACAGCGGCCTCCACGGGCCAGAGATCTCAGAGAGCTGTGGGGCTGGCCGGCCTTCGAGGGAGAAGGATGCAGGGCTCTTGCGGGCAGTGGGGAGCGGACAGTAGGCTGAGGCGGCCTCATTTCCGAGGCTGGGAATAACAGAGATCATTTATGGTCCCTTGTGCTAACTACCTGCTACGTATTATCTAATTTAATCCGTGCAACAACCCCTGAGGTCAGCTCTGGAATTATCCCCCTATCGTGGATGAGAAGTTGAGGTTTAACAGGTTAAGTGTCTTACTGGTAGTTGTGGGAACCCACGGACCTCGGAGCCCACACCCTCCCGCCCCTCTCCCTTCCCCTCTCCCCTCCCGCCCCTCTCCCACATGGCTGCAGGGGCAGGTGCTGGACTGGAAAGGGTCTTTCCTGGTCCACAGTGGAATGGGAACTCAGGAGGAAGGAGCGAGCGCCCCATAAAGGTAGACTCGTTCACGTTTTTTTCTAAATGTTTTATTTATTTCTAGGAGAGAGAGAGAGAGACAGCATGAGCAGGGGAGGGTCAGAGAGAGAGGGAGTCACAGACTGAAGCAGGCTCCAGGCTCTGAGCTGGCAGTCAGCACAGAGCCCGACGCGGGGCTCGAACCCACGAACCGCGAGATCACGACCTAAGCGAAAGTCGGACGCTTAACCGACTAAGCCACCCAGGCGCCCCGACTCGTTCACATTTTAAGAACAACCCTTCTTTCTGAAATTCTGTCTTTCCACATTTTTTGGTATTGAGTGGTTTTTCTTGGGTGGTCTGATGGTGTTCGTATGTGGCTTTTGTAAAAGGACTTTACTTGGCGGATACAAAGCTTTGCAGACCAGTGTTTGTTTCTGATATCGAACACAGCCTTGCAGGTAGGTCCGTGCAAGGCTGACTCCTGAGAGGTTCAGGGTCACACAGAGGCGAGGGCTGAGCACGGCGCGGGGGGCCCAGGGTGGGATCCCAGGTAGCCCACTTCCAAGCCAGGCCCTTTCCGGCAGGCACAGAGCCTGGGGTCTGGTTGTGAGTTACTGTCCCCCCACCCGCCGAATTTTATAGATAAGGCGACCAAACCTGAGTTTAATTAACTTGTTCAAGGCCATGCCTGGAGTGTTAGATCCCAGATTAAAACTCTCTCTGTGTCGCTACGTAGCCCGCCCTCTGCCAGGCACCTCCACGCTCACACACGTGTGTGGGGACCCCTTGGAGCTGGGGCAGCCCAGAGGGGAAGCGGCCTCCCCTCCTCCTGCCCACGGTGGCCAGCAGGCTTCTCCTGGTGGCTGGCCTCCATCCAGCTCGCCGCCTGCTTAGATGGCTCCCCTGTTTTATCCCGTGGGGGTCGTGCGTACCCTCTATCAGAAGGAGGTTTGCCATGCCTCCTACCTCGAGAGTCTTTAACTGTGCATTTGTGTCGTGCCTCCCAATTTCAACCTCCTCACGTGTACTATCTCATTTAATAGAGATCGATGAACATCTATGATGACGGTAGGCTAGTTATTGTTTCTCCACG